ATAAATTTGTGGAAGCAGAAACACATAGAGGAGTAAGCCCTCCACCTCACACAAACTAAAAAAGGAAGGGCCAGAAAAATAAGCACAGCCTTCAGAGGCATGCTTCCAGATACTCACTACTTGCAGACCCACCTCTCATTGTAACCAAGGCTTTATTTTGTTTGCCTTGGTTTTAGTCATAGACAATTTGTCTTCTCGTCCCAAGTTTGGATGTGTCTGTGACTTCACTGTCTTTGCTCTGCTGTGTTTCCTAACCCTGTTTTCATGGCTAAGGTAGTCAGCCTCTGTTGTTTGTTTTTGCTTTTTTGCTCTTCTGGGGGCCCACCACTCAGCTCCCAGATAAATCACACATGGAGGCTTATTCTTAATTATGAATGCTTGATCTTTGCTTGGCTTAGTTTCTAGCCAGGTTTTGTTAAATTATCCCATTCTCTTACTTCTGTAAATCTTACTCTTACTCCATGGCTGGCTGTGTAGCGGGTGGCTGGCTCCTCCTCCTCTCACTCCTTCTTTTCTCTTTTCTCCACTTCCCAGATTTCTCCTCTTATAAATTCTCTCTGCCTGCCAGCCCCACCTATCTCTCTCCTGCCTTGCTATTGGCTGTTCAGCTCTTTATTAGACCATCAGGTGTTTTAGACAGGCACAGTAACACAGCTTCACAGAGTTAAACAAATGTAGCATAAACAAAAGTAACATGCCTTAAAACAATATTCTACAACAAGCCTCTTTAAACAGAATTCCCTTTTCAGTGCTTTCCTTTAAGCCTACCCAGGTCATGTCTTAACCTCTCACTCATGTTTTTGGTTTTTTTTTTTTTTTTTTGGTTTTCCTCTAAAACATTTATTCATACAATACATATTTAATCATGTTTTTCCCTCCCCCAATTCTTCTCAGATTCCCATCTTCCCTACCCACTCAACTTTATGTTCTTCCCTCCTACCCTCCTTCCCTTTCTTCCTTTTCCTTCCTTTCTCTACCTCTCTCTTGCTTTTCCTAGATCTTGCACACACACACACACATACACACACACACACACACACACACACACACACACACACACACACACCAAAATAAACAAGCAAAATATACAGTAAGACAAAAAAAAGGATAAAAACCCAAATGAAATAAAATCCCACAAAAGATCCATGGAGTTCACTTTGTGTTGGCCGACTGCTCCTAGGCTCGGGGTCTGCCCTGGGTGTGCTTGATACACCCAGTGACACTCCCCCGTGTGTTGAAACTCCAGTCCTTAGCTCTGTTTGTACCATTTGAGATTGTCTATGTCTTATTTTCTGTCTTCACTTCTGGGTTACAGAATTTGATTCATTTTGAAAAGTAGCCACAACTGTAATGAAACATGTCTCTATAGTGTTTTATCCAGGACTACTGTGTCTGTGGCTGGAGGCATTTATCCATGTGTACCAGTTCACACTGCCTCAGCCTCCACTTCCTGTTCATAGTTCCTGAGACGCACCACACTTACACAGATTCTTTTTGTATATTTCCCTCTTATTTCCAAAAAATACATACAAATGAAATGTGGTCACTATGCTCTTATTACAAAACAACGCAAAGGCTAGAGAGATGGCCAGTGTTTGCGCCCATGGGCTGCTTTTACGAAGGACCCAAGTCTGGTTCCCAGAACCCTTGTCAGGCGGCTCACAGCTGCCTGTGACTCCAGCTCCGGAGATCTGGCACACATGGCTTCCGAGGGTACTTGTTCTCATGTGGGCATCCTTCCCTCCATACTCATATACTCCTGATCAAAAAGAAAAAGAAAAAGAAAAAAGAAAAAAGAAAAAAATTCTTCAAAAATAGGCAACACAATACAGATTTCTTAATTTATAGGAAATTCTTCTTCTAGTTTACAATACAAAAGTTTCATTTCAGTTAAAATGGGGCCATGTAACATAACTAAAATATTGCAAGTCACTAGGCAATAAAGTTACCCAGTCACATTTTAATCTTCATTTTTTTCATAATAAGAACTTTTAAAATAGTAGAAATACCAGGAAGTTAAATGTAGAGAGCAGTTAGAAACAATATATAAATACAGGTATTTAGCAATACCTCGTCTGCAAATCATTAAACATAGTTCTTTGGGGATGATGAAAATCTGTCTTTCTGCAGGTGATAACAATGCGAGGATTGTTGGGCTCTGAAAAGCCCTTGCCCTGCAAACAGGAAGGCCTGAGTTCAATCCCCAGAGCACACACAGAGCTTTGGTCAGAGTGACCCACTCTACCCCAAGGTTGGCAAGATGGGTGAGGAGTGGGTGAGAGGGAATGACAGACAGACCTGTGGAAACTCACTGAAAAGTTCTAGGTCAGTCAGAGACTCTGTCTCAAATAAAGAGACTCGGTCCTCCCATTCAACCATTCGAGCAGAACACTAAATCAGAAGTCACAATATCTATGCAGAGGACCTGGTGCAGACTTGGGCAGGCCCTGTGCATGCAGCTTCCATCTCTGTTATTTAGAGCCTTGTTTTCTTGGTGTTCTCCTTCCCTCTGGCTCTCCTCATCCCTGGGTTTCTGGGGGGCAGGATTTGATGGAGACATCCCCTTTAGGGCTGAGTGTTCCTAGGCCTCTCATTCTCTGTGTAATGCCTGACTGTGGGTCTCTATGTTTGTTTCCATCTGCTGCAGGAGGGGGCTTCTCTGATGATGGCTGAACTGATCGATGGGTACAGCAGAGTATCATAGGAGTCATTTTATCACTACATTTTTTTTCTGGTTTTAGACCAGTATTATTTGGTTTCTCCCTAAGTTCCTGGGCTATCTAGTCTCAGGTTCTTGGTCACCCAAGCAGTGTTGGGTATGGACTACATTTGGTAGAGTGGGCCTGTAGTCAGATCAGTCCCTGATCCGTTCTCCCATAAGCTTTGTGCCACCATTGCCCCAGCATATAAACCCTCGTAGAAAAGGGGTCTGTGGTTCCCTTGGAGTTTATGTTACTCTTCTGATAGCATGCAGAATACCTTCCGATGCCAAAGAGGCTGGAACATAGTGGTGGAGGCTCTGTGTAGGCACCAGCTGAACATCATGTTCAATATAGGTGTTGTCTTCAGCAATGGGACCTTGCTGTCAGTTTGTGGACAGCCACCCTATGGTCAGCTTCCACTGGGCAAAACAGGCATGTGGATTTTATGAAATGAGCACTTGGTACACAGAAAAGCGTCTAATGTTCTCTTGGATTAGCCAGGCTAGACCAGATGGGAAAGGATAAGTAGAGCCTTGAAAGATGAGTCAGAGGAAGGGAGGCAGTCTCAGAGGCATGAGAGCTTCACTGGTAAGACAGGGATAATTAACATATGAGACTATGAGACTCTGGAGAATATAAAAGCATATAAATAATTTAAAAGAAAAGAGGTGTCTGTGGAAAGCTCAGCTGAAAGGTGCTGCTCCATAAGCATGAAGGCCCAGCCATGCACGGGTGGGTGTGCCTCTCATCTCAGCGCTGGAGAGGCAGAGATAGGTGCATTCCAAGAGCTCTCTGGCCAGCCAACACAGCCCCAGGTCCCAGTGAGAGATGATTCCTCAAAAACGAGGGGGACAGCTCCTGAGGAATGACACTAGAGAGGTTGACTTCTAGCCCTCACATGCACACACCTGCACACACACATGCAGACCGTGTGTACACATGTAGGAACATGCACACATGCATGAACACATGTGTGCACACGCACGCACACACACACACACACACACACACACACACACTCATATCTACACATACACACAAAATAACACATACAAAGAAAAGGTATAATATAATATGTTTTTATTTTCTCCCTTCTTTTCCAATTCAGAAATAGATGATAAATTTCCCCAAGAGAAAGAAATAACATGTGTTATATATTTCTTCCCCAGGTTTCAATAAAGGCAGATGCCATGAACATCAGTTGGGAGCTAGGTGGCATCTTGTATTGGGGTTTTATCTTTGTGACATACATCCTGTTAACTCCTGTTGGATATGTGTGGGTAGACAGCCCAGTAATTTAATAGATTGCCTAGTTATAGACTTGCAGAGTCTATGTTACATTGGACAAAGGGGAAGCAATGATGTACAACCTGAGCCACCAAAATAAGGAACAAGCAAATAGGCCTGAGCATGGTACTATCTTAAAACCAAAATATAAGCTGGGAAAGATTATTGGTAGAAAAGTAGAGGCAACAGACATTTTACTGGGTTGTCACCCCCAAAGTTCAAGGCTATATAGATTTCCATAATAAAATTGGGACAATGCCAGTCCACTTATTCTTGGCTTTTTTTTTTAAACCTGAACATACACCAGGTGATGAGGTCCCTTACATTCTTAATGGCTGGAAGTTATAGGCAAGCATTGTACCACAGAGGCCATGTCTGGGTTCCATGCACTGTTTTTAGGCAACTCTTGTTGGGACTGCATGACTGTGCTGTTCCTTTAGCCAAACAAATTGCATAGATACTAACTTGTAACCACCTTAGGTTATGTTGTGTCCACTTCGTGGTTCTAATGGCCCAGCATTTATTTCCAAAGATGATCATAATTTAGAATGGACTGAGCTTCCAGATATTATGAAACAATTTAGACCATTTGTGTATCCATTCCAATCTTCTATGGGTGCCCACTGGAGTGACAGATGACGGGTGACATGGGCTATGTCAACCCCTTAATGTTGTAACTTTATGTCAGTGTGTTCAACTATCAGAAACACCCCTTTCCACTTGAATTTAAATGCTGGACTACCCAGCTCTGCCTGTCTTGACATAAAAATTGCATTCAATATGATAATCACAGCTTCCTTATTTAGGTGTAAACAGTTGTTTGAATGTTTATAGCACTTACCATCACCTCATTGAGGCCCTGAAGCCACAGGTGAGGTCTGTCCCATTTCCAGGATGCAATGGTGGCCAGCAAGAGGCTGGCTGTGGGGGCATTAACTTGATGCCCTGTGTCTACCCTTTGACTTGGAGTCTTTACCACTTGTGAGTAACTTGTACTTTTTCATTTTTTAGGGCAACATAACTATTTATGTGCTGGAAGAAATGACTGCATTGTTGATAAAATCCGCAGAAAAAACTGCCCAGCATGTCGCCTAAGAAAGTGCTGTCAGGCTGGCATGGTCCTTGGAGGTAATGTTGATGTTTTCATCAATAGTATAGTGTCTTATAACATGGAGTCAGAAGAATCCCTTTTTTTATTCATCTTTATTTTTATTTTTTCTTGTTTATTGATGATGAGCATTCATACTCCAGTTTGAAACAACCAACAATACAATCCTGTTAACTCTGGAGACTTTGAGCATGCTGAGTTCTGTTGGGAGAGGAACCCCTCTGTCTCTGCTGTGTATCAGTAGACTTTATGATAGGGCCTGGACCTGTCTGTAGGCAGTATGGGTTGGAGTCTAGGCTCTGCCACTTACTACTTATGTGATGTTAAATAATCCACCAATCCTTTGGGGGCCATTAAGCTTTTTAACTATAGAATGAGAGTCCAGAGGTCTCTTTGAGCTCAGAACTTGACTGTGAAAGTTTGTGAGATGCAAATTAAGCAATGACTAACTAACCAAGTTTACCACCATGCATAAAGAATCCATTTCATGGACACGTTGTAGTAACTCCCTACTGTATTTTTGTTTTTAGGCTCTTATGGCTTTTAATAATATAGTAGTAAATGCACTAAAGTTGGACCTGGCAGATGACTGAGTAGGTAAAGGTATTGCCACCAAGCCTAATGACTCAAGTTCAAACTCCAGAGCCCATGCGGTGGGAGGGGAAAACCAACTTCCCAAATTTCTAGTCTGTCCTCCATATGTGCAGCATGGTATATGTGCAGCCTGTGTGTGTGTGTGCTCCTTCATGCATGTGCATACATGCACACACACACACACAAACACACTTAATGAAATATATTAAAGTCATGAGTTAGACAGATAGTAAAATGCTTGTCTTGCAAGCATGAGTACTTGAGTTTGATCTCCAAAATCCACCTTTTTTACAGGACTGTGTATGGAAATACTAACTTATGACCCAAGTTCTAGGGAGATAAAGACCAAAATTTCACTGAGGTTTGGTGGCTAGCCAGTCTAGCCTACTTTACAAACTCCAGGGCTGTGAGCAGACTTTGTCTTCACAAGAGAAAATAGAGGAATGACACTCATGGTTGTCCTCTGGCCTCCACAACCACATGCACAAGAATGCGTGAACACTCTTAAACATACACATGCTCTTATACACATACACACAAACATACCAGAGTCAGACCTTAAAATAACAGTTGTGTTTATTCTTTGAGAATTTCATATATTTTGGTCATATTCATTCCCTCCATAACACTTCCCAGGTTTCCCCTCACCTCCCTACCACACAGCTTCTACCTCTTTCTCCCTTCCTCTCTCTCTTAAGACTAAAATGCCATGGGATCCAGTGTGTGCTGGCCGACTCCTCCTGTGCACAGGGCCTGCCGTGGAGTGTGGTTGACAGACTCAGTGTCATTGCACTGGGAGGGGAGAGTCGTAGCCTACACACGAATGTCTAGGCATCAGTCTTGTGTGTGGAGAAGACCTGTCAGAAGCACAGGAGATATATATTACGTGTTGAGATGAAGGGCTTCCTTCTTCCCAGAGCCGCCTAGAGCAAGCTTGCTTGTATTCCCTCAATGTTCCACATTTCTGCCTTTGGGAAATGTTATTTTTAGACCAATATTCTTCAAATTTAAAACCTCACCCAAGTGTTATTTCCTCCCTAAAAATTTTGCCAATGTTCTTGGGTAAAATTAACACCCATTCAACATTCTGGCCACTTTGCCAAGCTTCAATAATTCACTGAGCTGCAACATTCCTAGTATTTTATGGTTTTATGACTAAAGACTATTTTCCCCCAAGTGTACGCCCAAGTCTCAAATGTGTCCATACAATGCCTGGTTGGGGAGGTGCTCAGAAGGCAGTGACTACACCAGTCACCCATTTTCAATACTTCTCAAGTCCTGCACCTCAATTTCCTCCTCTTTCCTTTTAGCTTTGTCCTTAACAGTCTTGGTGTCCTCCCACATTTTAGAAAGCCAGGACTTTCTCACAAGTCACACTTCTTGCTGTTGGAGCTGCAAAATGGACTTGGAGATGCTGTGGCCACTCCCTGGCTCCATTGCTGTTTTTTTTTTTTTTTTTCTACAGCATGGTTGCCTTAGAGAACACCATGGCCTCTAATTCCATGATCCACTTCCATCAGGATTATAACATTGTTATCAATTCTTTGACAATTTCATAATGGATTTTGATACTTAACCCCTATTCCTCCCCCAACTCCTCCTAGAACTACCTTACCCAACTTTCTCTCTGTCTGTCTGTGTCTCTGTCTCTCTCTCTCTGTCTCTATCTCTCTCTGTGTCTTTGTCTCTCTCTCTGTCTCTTCCTCTTTCCCCCCCTTTAAAATGATAATTCACAGAGTCCAGTTGTCACTGCCCACATACTAATGGGTATGGGGTGGGGGTCAGCCACTGGAGCTTGGTTGACCCATCCATCAGGAACTTTAATCTGGGATTCTCCCTTAAATTCCTTTAAAGGATTCTTCCCTTTGACCACAGGTTAGAAATAGAGTTCAGGCAGAGTATTCAGAGTATGTCTGATGATGTAAGGTCAACCTAGAGAGTCTCATGCTCTCTCATCATGTTCTTGAGCTCTGCCCTGTCATCCAAGCTTGTATAGTCTTTCAATGCCCTCTCTATACATACATCTTGTCAGTTTACTCCATTATTCAAGCCATACCCTAACACCTCCAGAATTACCACTATATTTTCATAATTCTGCATTATCACTGTTTTAGCTTAGATTCTTCCATCTTCTGATTTCTTTTCTCGCCTCTCTTCCTTTCTCTTCCTTCCTAATTTTCTTTCTTTCTGCCTACCCTTCACTCCTATTTTTTCCTCTTTTTTGATAACAGCAGAAAATAACATTTCTCACTGTATGCAATGCTTGTCTTGCAAGCAGGGGGACCTTGAGCTTGATTTCCAGAACTCACCTTTTTAGAAAGGTTGGGCAGGGTGATTCCAGTTCTGGGGTGGTGAAGATCAGCACATCACTGGAGTGTGATGGCCAGCCAGGCCAGCCTACTGGGAACACCCTGGGGCTGTAACAGACACTGCCTCACAAACTCTGGTCCTCCTGGGGCTTGCACTGTGCACTGAGGTCAGTGACACACATACCAGAGGACAAAGGCTCTGTGAACACTGCTGAGCAGGTAGATATATGCATGAGTGTCAGGGGGACAGCTTGTCCCTGAGCCTTACAGCGGTCCACATCTTCATTTGACTTAGCTGTTTCCTGAAACAATGAGTTTGGTAGTGATAACTTTCCTAAAACAGAGTGAATACATTCCGAATGGCTTAAATGTACATTCAATGTACTGCCCCAAACAGCGTATGTAGCAGAAGTGGTTTTACTCCTCCAGGGGAAGAATGGATTAGGCCAGTGTGGTTTGTGTAGTGTGTTACACACCCTACTTAGAGCTGCCCTTGCTGTTCTACTCACAGAATAGTCTAATCTCTACTAAGATGACCGAATTGTAAAAGGTGTGGGTCTGAGTCTATAGAACATGGGGCAGAGTTCACCAGGGGAAGATATAGAGGAGCCAGGAGTGTACCATATCGTTCCTGTGGCCTGGTTTCAGGAGGGCTAAAAGTGGGGAGAGAAAGGAGCAAGATCCACCTGGGCCTGCTGTGAGCCACTACTGTGGTGCCTCTCACCCTTCAGAGCTCCTCTAGTCAGTGGAGCCCAGGTAAGCATGGACTTCCTCTACAAACTAGTCTCCTTCACATGCTGATCTTTCCAGAGCTTTCTCTACTCCCAACTCTCCTACCTCCACAGGAAGGCAGCACACTTGACCCGCATGCCACACAGTATTATACTAAGAAGGATAAGGAGAAAGTGAATTCTGAGAGATAGGGCGAAAGTTTCCAAGAGCTCTGGAATGTGAGCTTTATGAGAGGAAAAGGAGGATGGTGTATATAAAGTAAACTGTGTATATCTGAGGAAGTACAATGTTGTACAGCTTGACAAGGATTTTTCTAGATGTAAGTCAGTGGAATGGGAAGAAGTGAAGCCTGAAAGTGCGTTGGAACAACAGGAGTCTTGAGTTTGAACTCCAGTCATCAAACAGTATAGAAGTGATCTTTTCAAGCCAACCACCCTTGGTCTGCCTGTGAACAAGTCCCTTTTTCACACTCAGCCCATCTTCCATCCCTGAAGTACTCTTTCTCTCTTCCTCAATAATGTCCACCACCCTTCTGAAGCCTGTGCTCTGGGTCACTCCATCTGTGTGCATGTGGTTTGCTTCTTCCTGCACACTTTCTCTGCACTACTCATGAATTCTGACTTACATTTTAGCATAAGTTCAGAGGTAACATTCAACAGAGTGGATAGCGTCTAGCACACACACACACACACACACACACACACACACACACGAGAGAGAGAGAGAGAGAGAGAGAGAGAGAGAGAGAGAGAGAGAGAGAGAGAGAGAGCAAAAGGAAATGGAATGTCAGTGGAAGATTTCTTCAGAGACCAGAACATGGGGAAAGGAAGGATTCCATGCCATGGTTACATACCAAAGTAGTCACAGATTAGAGGAACACATTGAACTAGTAGTCTGTTGGCCAAGCTTCCTTGTCGGTGCTTCTGTTTGTCTGTCCCTGACTCTTGTTTCTTATTGTGACCCTGTGTCCCCGAGCTTCTGAAATCATAGAGAAGTTAACCTCTTTGTAGAGCATGCCTCTGTCAGTGAACTACTTCTCTGTGCAATGGCCTTTTGAGAATGAAGGGAAAATATTAATGTTTAAAATGTGACAAAGGATGAAATGAGAACTTCATGGATTAGCCAGCATGCAGGTTGGTTCTCCATTTTCCTAATGTAATATGCAAAGTAGCCAAAACAAACATCTAGTCTCCTGGGGATGTGGATATAATAGTAAGAGCTTTGTTACATACTATCTAATGCATAAACTCAATTAAATAAGGATTTGTAGATTAAAGACAGGAATTAATCCTTTAAGGTCATATTTAAAGTATGTTTTTCTAAGTAGTCTCCACTGCTTATTCTGTGCATGAGTCATTACCACTAGAAACAATTAAATATATACT